CCCCCCCCCCCCCTCCCCACCGCCAAGTTCTGTTTTCGCAGCAGCCCGAGGCAGCCCGCGTGAGCACTTTTAAAGCCAGTAACGAGATGTATTCGTTGTTAATTATACATGAAAAGATCATTTTCACCTTCATTTTGCACTAACTAGGTTCTGATATTTCTCTTTCAGACGTAGGGAGACAAACTGTTACAAGTAGTTCTGAAGGATGGAAGGACACTGATATTGGGTGGCTTCCAAACAAGGGAAGCCATTGCGACATACAGTTTTCCAACAATCTTTTAAAAGAATTTTATTCATATGCTGGTTCGCTGGTCCCAAGCAAAACACTTTTTCGCAAGCAATGGGATTTGTTTAAAAGAAAGGAAAAAACTGAAAAAGTTATCTTTTTCTAAAATCGGAAAATATGGTAGGTGTTGCTACATCTCTCACCCTAATAATGGGAATGCTTTAGCTGGTGTGGTTGGAAAAATACATCACTTGTTAGATCAAGTGGAAAGCCAAAATAATGAAATAAAGGCACATCATCAATGATTGTTTAATACAAATGGGAGAACCCTTAAGCACGAGTGGCAAATGTTTCATCATGTCAGCAGTGTCAGGCTGATTGAGTTACTATCAGATATGAGTAACGAAATGTCCTCATCATTATCAAGAGTTGAACAAGCAGCTAGGAAGTTTTCTGGGATTTAAAAAAAATAAATGTGGGGATAGGAATTCTGCTTCCATAAAAAGGAAAAATGTTAGGGAAGAGGGGAGGAGGGAACATTTTTAAAATAAGAATAGGGATGGGGGGTTAAATTTTTATCTGAAAATATTCTTTGGGGGGTTCAGTTTCGAAACACTACACTTTTTTTGAAGACCACCATCCCTCCCCCCCCCCCCGCCCCGGACGTAATAAACGATCGATCCCTTAGGCTAACTGTAGTGCCATTTCGTCATTTCGCCATTTCGCGTTTTAAATACGCCCGCTAAAACGTGCACCAAGTCTGTTTTAAGATCGTTGACCACTGCACCAAACAATCAACTTATCTTGCATTAGGACGACACAATATGGCGCCCCTTATTCTAAATGACGTGTAGATCTATATGAACTCCAATGCTGCTTTATCAAAATGTCTCTGTTGAATTAAAAGCGCATTAACTGAAACACTAATTCTAGTATTTTGAAGTCGTGTCTCCATTTTTTGCATCCTCGGAGACCCAGGGGCAGCTAGTCGAGACGATGCGATATTTTCGGGCGAAAGTACACTTTAAGAGCGGGAGAGCGGGGCTCTCCCGCTCTTAAAGTAAACTTTTGCCCGAAAATATCGCATCGTCCCGATCCATTTGTTATTGATTAATGTTCCAAAAATTCCAGGGATTCCTTACTGATTTCATCAATTTCTAGACAGTTGAGCATAACTGTTATCGAGACAAATAAAACCCTCACGATCAATCTCCTGTTGAAATCCACTTTCTTTGGTTACGATGTCGTTCATTTGTTTACTTCCTGGTTGTCGCGTGCCTCCAAGAACGACTGAACAAGACTTTCCCTCTCTCGTCTCATACATAAATGTATGAGACGAGAGAGAGAGCGAAATACTGTGTCCAAAGAAGGAATTTTAGTGTCTTATCGAAAGAAAGTATTTTAATGCTTTATGTCTGTGTATCTCTTAAAGGGGCTGACCTGAAGTTAAACTGCTGTAGAGCGTACAACTTTCCCGCACGCATTTTGTTTGGGACAAGTCCAGTCGCGATTTAAATTGTCTCGTGTAGTTCAAAATTGCAACTTGCGGGCGATTTCCTTACTATTAAAACATGTAATTAACGTTTTTGACCTTCGACAATCGTGGCCTTAGGCAATGTTCAATGATCCTTAAGCTGCATGTGATTTTTGCATGACGCGTCAGGAGCACGCGCCAAATCTATAGTGCCCTGAGCGTGCTAAAAAATAAACTGAAATTCCATTTACTCCCCCCGTCCTGGCGGAAGAAACAAGAAATTTGACCGAAATCTTGGACGCTTTGGCGTTTTGGTTAGTTAAGTCTTTCACTGTTTATCAAACTAATACATCAGATAGATTCAGTTCACTGTAAGATTTGCGGCTGTCCGCTTAATTATAAACCAAGGTCAGACGAGGCCTACACGAATCAGTTTCTTAGCAACGACTCCATACTCTTCTCGATCATTGCAAGGTTAGAAAGTTGATTTTCAATATCTTTTTCCAGCATAGTTTTGCTCTTAACCAATGAATAGGGTTAAAACAGTGCCTTTCACACGAAGAAGAGGGTAAAACCTTTGTGAAATCTAGTGTCAGTGTATCGAAAATGCCCAGCAAAACTTCCGAGTCTTCGATCAGAATCGACAGATGTGGTCTTTGTGCTTCACGCAAGGAGTAGGCCAAGGTTTAAAGAAACTGCGCTTTTCTTAAAAACTTAAAATCCGTTTATGAAGTTAAAATGTAAGCGACCATGGCCAATGCCTTCACAAACATTTCATTGCAAGGCGAGTGCACTGATCAAGTAAACAAGCAAAATTAAAGAGCACAGACGTTTAAACTTTGTGAGTAACACAACTTGTGCATTTAGAATTTACTGTTTGTATAGATAGATTTCGTACTCACCGAAGGTCGTCTACTGGGGGAAACAGTGGTATAACAAATTCCAGCGCTTCTACTGTCCGTAGCTTAGAAATACTGATGCTACTATGAGAAAAACGATTTTGCTTTGAAGCCCAAGGTGTTTAGACTTCCTGTTAATTCCTAGAACTTCCGTATACGTGCTCAATGGTCCGCGCACCGTTTAAATGTCAATAAAGCGCCTATCAAGTCTGAAAAGGTTCTGATGGCATCACTCCAAATGACGAAAATTCTGTTGTTATCAGGGTTAACGGATTAGTAATCCCAGCAGTGACGTTCGACAAAACTTTAACCTAATCAATCGCATGTGGTTACCGGTACTTGATGTCTGTAAATCTGTTAATTAATCGAGTTAGACTTTCTTTCTGAGCAGTCAAAACAGAAAGAGGTAGTAAAGCGTTACCAAGAGGTTAGGAATTTACCGGTTGTTTCATTTCGTTTAGGTGGCACGCCTGGAAGTTCAAGAGCAGCTTTTGTTTGAAGATTTTACACAGAGAGTCGTTCAAGGCTGCAATATTATAATCGGCGGATAAAGGTTTCCATCAGCTAACGATGAGATTTGTGTAATCGTGTCTGAACTTTTCGGCCAAATTCTCTATCACGCATAAGATTGAAACTGATGTGGCTAAACGTCACGCTTTCCGGGATGTTACTAAAATTGGTAATGGAGAACGGGAAACGGAAAACCAGAAAGTGGGAACGGGAACCGGACACCGAGAACCGGGAACAGGGACAGGGGCCTTGGAACGAATGTACAGCGGTAACCTGCCTGATGATTCAAAATGACGGAGAAAAGAAAAAGAAAAGGGAACAATTTGGGGAAATTTGAGGAAGTGTTACACTGATTTCTACCGGTTGTACCCGCAGATGACAAGTACGTTCTTGTTAATAGAGCAGAGTCTGATTTGAACTGGGATAAATAAAGCATGGAATGGCGCCTGGGTAGAAAATCGAATCGGTACTATCACATGCTACCCCAATCGGTCAGTAAAAAATGTAGACTGCAGACTAGGTACAAAACACAGACTGAGAAAAAAGACTGTTTCTCGTCTGATACGTGACAATATATCATCTAAAAACATACCGAGTGTCACGCAGTCGCTTCTTTCTTCAACATTACGATTATTGTGGAATATTCCTTGCTCGTCTCCTCATATATTTTGTCTTTAACAAAGCGGCCAGGCCACAGGGTATTTATCTGCTGCTTGCCTGATTTGCCAGCTGAATTGGCGATCTCCGAAAGGCCTCCATGCTGCCCTGATGCGAAGACAGCGGTCAAGTGTTATATGTCACTTGTCCTCGACATATCGACATATTGATATGACAGCTTACGTACAAAGTGAGAAGATATGAGAAGACTATGAAGGCTTGAAATTCTATTTAATTTAAGGAGGACTGTGGCCTGGCCTTCTTAAGTTTTAGTTCGGATGTAAGACCGTCTAATAAGTTCACGCTTTGCAACGTTTAACCCCTACAGGGTTCCTCATTATGTAATAGAGTCTGAATTTCCAAGTATATGGGTTGCGTGAAATTAAAATGGCGACCCGATAAGGCTCTCGAGTAGGTTAAAAGATGAGTTATTGCTCAAGGTTTTGCTAATTAATTAAACAGTTCTTGCTCTCTGGCGTCTCCGTACAAAGCTGTATAAATTTGGGTGAAACAGTTTTCCGAATAACGTGCGAAAGAATAACCACACAGAGCTAAATCTTGGCGAGGTTGTTCATACATCAGTCATCTTTCATATTCCAGCTTCTTGACTTAATTTATTGAAGAGTTACTATTTATATTTTTTTTGGCGTGACGCTGTAAACCATTCACCGGACTCTGCTCTAACAAGAACGTACTGGTCATCTGGGGGCACAGCCGGAAACTCACGTTTACAACCGTAACACTTCCTCACATTTCCCCCAAATTGTTTCTTTTCCTTCAATTTGACCGCCATTCTGACTTATCAGACGGGTCACCGCTGTACACCCGCTCCCCGCTCCCCGTTCCCCGTTCCCCATTCCTCGTTCTCCGATGCCCGTTGCCCGTTCCCTGTTCCCCGTTGCCCGTTCCCTGTTCTCCATTTCCCATTCCCCGTTACCCGTTACCCGTTCCTCGTTTTCCGTTCCTCGTTTTCCGTTCCCCGTTTTACGTTCCCCGTTTTACGTTCCCCGTTTTACGTTCCCCGTTGCCCGTTGCCCGTTGCCGGTTGCCCGTTGCCCGTTGCCGGTTGCCNCCCGTTCCCCGTTCCCCGTTCCCAGTTTTAGTAGCATCCCGCGTTCCTTGGTCCTATCCCATTTAGGTACGTAAACTTGCAACTAGCTACAAGATCAATATAGATCAGTAAATTGTCAGCTGATTTTGGAGACGTATTTTATGAAAATAATTACTAGGGGGATTTCTTAAGCACTGTGCAGAGAATGTCACGCTGATTCAAATCTGAAATCACTAAATATTTCAAAGATACCTTACAGCTGCTAGCTCACATTTAAACGAACAACTTTTAATTCTTCATCTACAGAGCGAAATATACATGGGAATAAGTATATTTTGCTGATCGGAATTCTCTTGAATTTTCGCCAGTGTTAATCACAAGTTTAAAACACACGGAAGACAAATTACAAGACGATTACATTGTCTTCGTGTTTTTTCTACAACTGTTTGCATAGTGGTTTAAGTTACACCCGCTTTCAGTGTCACGTGCATAGGCGACATCTTTCGACATGCCATCTTTCGACCTGCTATGTAACCTGGCCTACTAAAAAGTGTAAGCACAACGGACTTTTTCACGGTCGAACTCGAATTGTAATGATGAAAGATTTATTTATTTGCCATCAAATTAAGATTAGGAGTATCAAGAAGTCATTCTGGCTGAAATAAGTCGACTGTCTTGAATGTTTACACGTTGCAAATATTAAAAGCGGCAGCGGCCCAATTCTACCGGAAGTCACTATTGAGAACCGATCGACTACGCTAAATCGCTCTAATCATCCCGTAAATACGAAAGCATGCAAAGTCCAAAATCTTCGTCAGCCATTTGAGGTGGGTAATTATCATTGACTTGTCATTTCCTCCGCTAACCGGAAAAACTACCAGTTCACAGTTTAACGGTCTTTCATAGCATATCGAAAGATGGCATGTCGAAAGATGGTCGAAAGATGTCGCCTGTGCACGTAACACTGAAAGCGGGTGTAATAAGAAAACGCAAATAAGTGAGCATTTTTTTTGGTTATTGTGGGTAACGTGCGATAGGTCAACTAGCAACGTGCGATACTTTTACATAATAAATTATGAAAAGAGAAGATTAATGCTACACATTATTTATGTCCGCCCGGGCTTGGCTAATATATTTCTCACACTTACAGCAGAAATCACCAGTTTGTTCAGAACATCATGACTCCTTCTTAGAATAAGAGTTTGTTCGTGAGCATGATCAACAAGGCAATGGCTCCACACAAGCTAACGTTACCGTGCGAGATCCCGGTTGCACCACTCCATGGAGGCTTATCTGAAACTGCCAGTGTCTGGGTTCTGTTGCATGATTTATCTGAGCACGAAGACAAAGACTTAACCCAAACTTTCTGTCCGTCCACCTGCAAGGGAAGAGTTCCATTTTTCACGGCTGATGCAAACTCTTGGATGGTCTGGTTGAAGTCAACAGATGGAGCAGACGTGGTAACTATACCCAGAGCTTTTTTGTCGGCCAAGACTATGGAGATGTCCAGGTTATCAAGATCAACCACAGCATCAGTGTAGGCAAGCCAGTCCATCACGTTCGTATTCCACTTCAAGGTACTTGCAATGTTTGAACCCACTTCATCTGCAAACCGACTTTGGAGATCGGCCTCTGGAAGAGAATTAGTGGAACGCCGTTTTCTTTTCTTGAACTTCTGGACTTTTATCTTGAAGAATTTGATCACATCCTTTAATGTTTGTTTGGCTGATTCGAAAGTCTGCTTGATCTTAGACGAGATACATTTGGTTGGTATGTTCCACATTCCTTTTAGGGATTCCCATGCTGTATCGAGCTTGATGAAAGAGCTCTTAATGGTCCAGAATATCTTGACGTATTGAACATAATCGAGATCACAAATTGACGGCGCGTTCTTGTCAGGTTTTAAGTAGCATGGAGTGTGAGAAACAAATGCTCTCTCTCTCGTATCTTTTTACATGTTGGATTGGCCCAGGGGCGCAGCAGAGGTACAAGAGCAACCTGTAGACACTTACGGACACCATCCATCCATGTTTGCCCTTCTGCGCTGAACTTGGCCTTTCGTTCTTCAAACAACCTGCAAAACTTCTCAGCGTAAGTTATTGCGTAAGCATTGCTTGAAGCTTCGCAAGGGTACTTCTTTTCCAAGCAGTTGCGATACCAATCACAGGAATCTCCAGCTGGGCTGTAACACTCCGGAGGTATGGATGTAGTTGGGATGCCAGTGTATGGATTAGAAGTTGGACTGCCAGGTTGACAGGAGCAATCGTCTGTCACTGAGCCATAGTTTTTGTCATGTACCTCTATCATGCACTGGTACCAGCAATAAGTTGCATAGCGATCCGTACAGATGTGTTTGTGGCCACTTTTTTGCTGGATGTAGGCATTTGACAGGCAGGTTGCCCACTGATATTGGTTATTGTATCGCTCTAGTTGAATGCACGCAGTAGGCCCCGGTGGACCTACATTCACGTCACACTGGGTGGCCCATCCACTCTGCACCACAAATAGCAACAGAAAAGCCAAAGCCCACATCTCGCTCTGAAGTGAAGGTGTGAACTGTAGATAGAAAATGACCAACATAAGCGGAGTAATTATGTACAGTATTTAATTAATAACTTTGAATTTTCCGTGATGAATGTAGATGGCCGCAAACGATTAACCTTTCCATTAGTAACCCTACGAAATGTAGTTATATCATGTTACAAATTATGTTTAATTAATGATTCAACCAATGAAAGTAGTCCAGTCCCTGAGCTCTCACTCCTTGCTCTTGGTTTAACCTCTATTTCAGGAGGGGAAGGGAGAAATCTGGAACTGGACTAAAATGAAATAAGAAGTTATGTAATGCGTTTTATCGGTCTATATTGACTGAGACTAGCTGAATGTATTTGTATACTTCAAACTGTGGGAAGCAGTTCTCATGTTGGCTGATTAGGAAACTCTATCGTCGAAGAAATGCGAAATATCATTGAAAAATCAATGAAGCTCATTTGCATTTTAACGCGCACCATTGCTTTGTTATCTTACATTCAGATACAGTTAATCCAATCAATGCCTAGTATTGGTTAATGAGTTTTAGCGGGGACTTGTTCATTCGCAAGCAAGATGCTACATCACCAGCATCTCCTGTACATCACGAATAAGACAAAAAAACTAGGTTTACGTAAAATAGCTTTTGCAGACCCTTTGCGGGCCCAGTTTTTCATTGTTTATGAACCCATCGTAAGCAAGTTACCCAATTTCGCATGGAAATAGCCGTAAAATCATAAACCGTAGAATAAATTGTACGGGTTAGTTAGTCAACTCAACTAGCTCGACTTGTTAAATTCTGTGCGATGGCTATTTTAGTAGCCATCGCATTATATCGCATTAATAAAATAACTATATTAAAGATGGCTTTCAGTCTTCAGATTGACGGGATTAAAATTTCATACATTATGGACTGACACCTTCTTCTCGAAAGCCATCAGGTTCTTAGAACTATGTTGTTTATCTATACATGGATTCACATCAGTTACCAAAAACTATAGATGAGTGAAGACTCTACAGCGTGTGGCAGGATCTGTTTAGATTATGGTAAATAGCTTTTGTATTTAGTATTTAGCATGGACTGTTTATTAGTAGTTTATTAGTATTAATTTTATATATATATATATATATATATATATATATATATATATATATATATATAACTTTAAATATTAGTATTACCTGATGATTTTTAACCGTGTATACAGAAATGTTAAATAAATAAATAAATAAATGGAATGTTCTTTAACATCGACCTTTTAAAACCGTATAGTTTCACTGTGCAGAGGCATGCAGTGTCAAGACTTTCGAAACGAAAATGCTAAACTGACAGTCAGGTATATCGATGGACATCACTACATACGTCTAAAATTAATTGTGTTTGACAATGACTTGTGTAAACGTTCAAGACATTATTTATAACAAGTGAGTTACACGTTTCGACCGAAGAACAGCGGCTTTCGTTGGGTATTAAATACCAGCTGAATAACGGCCATATAAAGGTTCACAATTCTGCCCG